GGTTGGAGGAGGCAGCAGATGGGCCAAGGACAACCTCCCAGATTCCCTCTGCCTTGGTTTGCTGTGTGATAGCATATGAATGGTAAAGCAGCTCTAATCCAGGAGCCTGTAACTTGTCTCATAAAGAAGTTGTGTAAATGTGAGAAGTTTGGGGTGCTTGTTAAGTGGGAAGGGAGGTGACAGAAATTCTTTCTTATGGATCCAACATTGCTCAGGGTTAAGGATGCTCCACAAACATTTAGAAATAAAAACACCAGATCACTAGGGTGTGATGGTACCTTTTCTAGATCACCTTCAAATCATAGTAAGAAAGCTAAGAGTTTAGATACCTCTTGCAGCCAGGCCGATCACAAAGTAAGTAAGGCCTAGGGCCACCTGCATCCTTTTTCAGGCTCCTAAAATAATGAATAGATAACAAAATATGGTATTTCAGTTATCCATTATGGCATAACAAACCACCCCAAAACGTAGTTGCTTAATACACAGCCATGCATTGGCTCCCAATTCTGCAATGTGAGCGGGGCTCAGAGGGACAACTCATCACCTCTGTTCCACGTGGCATATGCTGTAGTCATGCGGGAGTTTGGGTGAGCTGTGATTCCCCTCTCCTTCTCCAGGGTCTCTTTCCATGTGGCTTCTCATCACCCAACGGTCTAATCTGAGCTTCTAACATGGCAATTGGATACCAAAAAGGTAAAGGAAGGAGCTGCCTAGACCTAGAACGGGCACACTCCCATCAATTCTGGCACATTCTACTGGTCAAGGCAGGGCACAGGGCCAGCCCAGATTTAAAGGGAGGGGAATAAACGCCACCTTTGACTGGAGGAGCTGCAGGAGCCTACAAAGAAAGGAAGACTTGCTGACAGTCATATTTAGAAATTATTTCACACACAGGGTTGTAAAAACTGTGGCATATTCTAAATGTTTACATTTAACACCTCGACACTTTTAACATAACCGTGTACAGTGACTACATGATTAACCTCCTTTGAGTATAATATCAATATTTTAAATTTAAGGTGGGGCCCAAAGAGTCCTTCTTGCTCTCCCTGACTCAGTCTGTTGTCCTGGCGCCTGTCTTAGACTCTGTGAAGGAAGTTCTTTCTTTTCTGAGTCCTGAATGATTGTGTAATTTGCAGCGGGCACCAACAGTCATTCATTCACAAAGGCACTTGTTCTTCTCAAGTTCTTGTGCTTCTGATTTTAGGTGTAGAGGGTTCACTGGGAAAATTCCTGACTGTCTCCCTGCCAGGGCATCAGTATCCCCATCCAACCAGTAGCAGCAGTAACCCCTTCCTCCACCGTCTGACCCTCCAGAGTGTGAGAGGAGCTTAATAGTCTGTGTAACCTGCCATGCAGCAGCTACCCCTTGTATGTAGAGATGGAGGCTCATCTGGAAGGGGAGATGATTCAACAGCACAAAAAAACCCAAACGTAAGAGTGCCAATGAGCAGAGGAGGTGACACATCCTGCAGAGCCGAAATGTGGAGGTCTCAGGAGCTTTGTAAGCTTGTATGAGACTCTGGGGGGCTTTGGGCAAAGTCCCTGTCAGTAGCTGCCACGGGATGGAGAAGATGAAACCGAAGAGAAAGACAGCCAGGCCAGGAGCTCAAAAGTCATCAGCTCTTTACATTACAAAAGAAATTGCTGTGGGATCACAGATTGCCATTTTGGGAACATGAGTTTGTTTGTTTTTTTAAGCTATTTATATTTCCTGTAATTTAGGTCCTTTTTGTTCTCTCTTAGTGTTTAGTACATTTTAAAAATGCTAGTCTGGTCAGCTGTGCTAAGAGGAACCAAGAAAGAGGTTTTTTTCCAGTTTGGACCGGAGTTTTAAAGGAGAAGCAGCTGACCAACCACGTGACAAGGTGGAGACAAGTGCCGTTGCTGGAGTGAGAGCGCCTCAAAGGGAAGGTACACCGAGAGCAACTGAGTTGGAAACTATGGTTTAGATGCTCCCCCCACCCCGAGATGTGTTTATCAAATCTGGGTCCATCTCTCCATCCCCACAGTCTGTTATTCCCCTGGTGGCCCGGACAAGAGGCAAGAAGAGACCTCAATGAACAATGAGAAGGAACAGCACCCTGGGATTGGTGGCCCAGGGCTGGAGTGGGTGGGTCACCATGGAGTTTGCCCTCCAGAATGCAGCCAGCAAACAGAAAAGCTGGTCTTAGTCTGGAGACGGGGGAGGGGTGTTCAATGTTAGCAGGAACCTCTGGGTGCCAAGTACTCAAGCAAGCAGGTTACCAAATCTTTTTTCTAGTTAATGCAGGAGAGGACACACACAGGCTGCAGAGGACCCCGACCAGTGCCCAGGAAGGGGATGAGTGAGGGTTACTGGGGCACAGGACAGAGCTCAGGTAGATAGGTGGAATCTAAAGCAGAGACAGGGTCAGAACAGGCCATTATCACGGCAGAATTGGGGGTAGG